AATATGGCTTCAAGAAAAAAGTTGTGTGGGTCACTCAAGTGATAATTCTGTTGGGCAATCTTGATACAGATGATTTTCCTTCAGTCTCAAAGTAGACATTTACAGCAAGTGATGGGCTTAATATTTTAATTAATTAATTTGTTAATTAATTACTTTTATTAGAGAGGTGAATTTGGAGTAAAGGAAAGACAGAGAGAATGATCTTCCTTCTGCTGTTCAACTCTCCAAATGGCCACAGCCAAGCCAATCCGAAGCCAGAAGCCAGAAGTGACTTCCAGGTCTCCCACATAGGTGTGCAGGCTCCCAAGAACTCGGATCACCCTGTGCTGCTTTCCCAGGGCACAGGCAGGGAGCTGGACGGGAAGTGGAACAGCTGGGATATGAGCCACTGCTCATGTGGGATGCTGGCACTTGAAGGTGTAGCATTAGCCTTTGAGCCACAACATTGGTCACAATGTACTTATCTTAACTGATGTGCATACTGAGACTCAAAGATAAAGGCACTTTGAGGTCAAAGCTTGGGCAGGACTTATGCCTTGACTAGACAGAAAGGACAGATGAGATTGACGCCATGGTGTCAGTACTGCGAGAACCAGTGGCTGCATGTGGGTGGCGTGCAAGTTGTCGCTCTTGGATGGACTTTGCTGGGCTTTTCTTCCTCAGAGCCCCAACAACAACTGTCCTATTTTATTTCACCCAGCCAGAGAGGTAGTAAAAAGAGCAGCCAAGTAGTACAAGTGGCTAACAGAAATTGAAGTCTCAGGTTTAGGTAGCCAAGATTTTTTTCTGTGATTTTGGGCAGATTCTATAGGACTTTCCTGAACTGTAGAATGGAATATGGAGATCAAATTGTTCCTTCTTTGCTAATGATTGTGACTCCATCAAGATTAAGCTGCAGGGGTTGGTGTTGCCTTGCTTGTTGATATCCTTGTGTACTGTATCAGAATGCCTGAGTGCCCGGCCTGAATTTGCTCTTGAGTCTAGCCTCCTGCTAATGTGGGCCCAGAGAGATAGCAAATATGGCTCAAGCAATTGGGTCTGTGCAACCGGTGTTATGACATAGCGCATTAAGCCTCCACTTTAGTGTTGGCATCTCACATGGGTGCTACTTCGATTCACACCTGATCCGGCACCCTGCTCATGTATCTGGGAAAGCAGTGGAAGTTAGCCAAGCCCTTGGGTCCCTACCACTTACATAGAGGACCTAGAGAAAAGCTCTGGCTCTGGCTTTGGATTGACACAGCTCCAGCCGTTGTTTGATTAATGAACTAGTGCATGGAAGAGCTCTCTCCCTCTCTCTTTCTCCTTCCCCTCCCCCCAGCCTTTCAAATAACAAAATAAATATATATTTTTTATTTTTTAATAACATTGTATTATGTGACACAGTTTTATAGGTACTGGGATTCCCAACACCCCTCCCATAACCCTCCCCCCATGGTGGCCAAATGGGCCCAACTGGAAACCATAATGCTAAAGGAAATGAGCCAATCCCAAAAGGTTAGATACCACATGTTTGCCTTAATTTAACCTGTAATTTTTTTTTCCTTATTTTTGAACCTGTAATTAATACTGTCGCAACCCATGTGTTTTTGAAAAATTGTAAAACCTACTATACTTTCAAAATAAAAATATTTTTAAAGCAGTTGAGTGCCTGCCACTCACAAGGGAAGCCTGGATTCTTTGCTTCAGCCTGGCTCAGTCCTGGCTACTCCCGGCCCTTGAGAAGTAAAATCGCAGATGACTGTCTCGCTGACCTTGAAAAAACAAACAAAAAAAGTTCACCATGAGGCAAATGAGTATCTTACAGGGTCACCTGGGTGGGCCTGGGGGTCTTCTAAATACGTTTCTTTAAAATGTCCCAAAATAGCATAGAAGGAAGTTGGCTCCAAATAGTCGCTGTTTATATAAACCCACACCCACACACACACCTGTGTATACCTATACTTGCATTTCTATGCATATTAATACATACCATTTCCCATGAGCTCAATAAGCTGGTGGAAAATGAAATCAAATGTTTTAACATTTTTTTGTTGGAAAAGATTTTTGGAATCCAAGAGTAGTTTTTTCATTGATAGGAAAAAAATTTTCCTAACATGAGCTTTTTTCCCCATGAACTTTGTAATATACTTCTTGTATGTATGATATCTGTTGTAGGAAAGTTTAAGTTTCTCATAGAGTTCAAGTATTTTTGGAATGAAGGAGGTCTGGAACTAAGAAAATATAGTTTTAGAAAGTATCAAAGTGGAAAGAAGGAACATTTAAGTGACTTAAAACCGCCCAGATTTTCTTTTTTCTAGAGGACATACTAAATTTAGTGTCCTTTTTGCTGTGTGCTGGTAGCTCCTATTGAGGAAACAGCCTCAGATGCTCACTGGGCTAACCAGGACACTTCGTGTCAGGCTGGAAAGAGCATTAACACACAGGCACAGGGGGTTTCTGTCACTCAGACATGGAACACTTCTGATCTCTTGGTTCCTAAGTGATGTGTGAGATGTGGGATGGGGCGGGGGAGGGGGGATGGTGATGACTGCCTCAGAGCACAAGCCTCGTAGGGGCAGTCAGACCACGCCTGCCTTCATCTCCATCACTCCCTTCACACGAATACGCACTCATACAATGGGCGCAGACATACACACCCTGAAATTGTAAACCACAGTGATCACACAACTGGCCCGTTATGTTACCCCGCGTGGGTAACTGACAAGCAAATGAAGTTTGACTGAAACGTACTGAAACTCTCAGTTGACTAAAGTTATCGGGCCATTAAATTGAGGTCATCCAGTCAGTACAACCAACCTTCAGCCTCTGCTTGGCCACGCCTCCCTAAATATTTTCTTTCCCCTTAGAAGTTACATCACTGGTATCTCAGGCCTCTTCTTCAGTATTCACAGTTCTTAGTATGCATTTTCAAAACAGGTTGCACAGCATATGCAGGGGAGAGACCCACTGGTTCAGTCGTATGCTGGAAACCACAGTCAACTCTCTTCTGAGCTCACCTGCACGTCTTCCCAAGCGTGTACTTTTGCTTTATGGGGAAATAAATCTTACTTCCCCACTGCCCTTTAAATCTTCATCTCTTCTTTGAACTCCTTGCCAAGGAGAAGAGAACTGGGACCAAGCTTATGCAGAAGACTCCCCACGAGACTACGTGAATAACAGGAACTCGTCACTGGTTTCCAGGATCTGCTTTAGGATAACACTGATGCGAGGGGGGAATACTGGATTGACATTCATGCATTTTGATCTGTGCATTCCAAGTGGGCATCCCAATTGATATGCCAAATGCCTACCTGCCATTTCTCTTAAATATGAATGGCACTTGAGTATGAAACATGGGCCAAATGAATCTCCTTTGTTTTTTCAAGATCAATAAGTAAAAATTACGAATAAAAAAGGGACCCATATATTTTATGGTTAATATCTCCTAAATACATTCTAAAGTAATGAAATGACTTTAAGCCTGCTAAAAAGATGACAGGTCCTGGGGGTGGAGGGGATGGCTTGTAAACCTCACAGTTTCCAAGTTGAGCCTTCGTGAACCCTTGGCTTTATGTACTGAGTCAGGGATGTCTTCAAGTTGAGCCTCCCTTCTCCTCTCTTCTTGTGTACCATGTCTGAGAGCGTGGGCCACAACTTGTACCTCGATGGAAACTGCTTAGCATTTAAGCCAGTAGTGCCCGTGTCCTTGAAGGTTTTGTTGCCCGGATGTGATACAGCTCAAAGTTAATGAGAAATGTGGGAAAAAGGAGGCAGTTTGTGGAAAGTTCCCTCTATATAGAGCTATGAATTTTGAAGTACATTAGACAAGGCTCTCATCTATAAAGTGGTGATGACAGCTCTGCTGCTTTCTGCTATGTTCTGTGAATGGCAGATGGCAATGACAATTAACTAAGCCGCTGTGAGAGCTTTGGGCACAAGAAGACTTTCTGCTCTTTTTAGGCACCTCACATGCTTATCTTTTTCAGTTCTGCTTCAAGCATTCCCTCATTCATCCCACGCAGAAGGGAGAGTGTTTACTCCTCCCCAAAGCAATCATACCATGTGGTCAGCGTCAAAGAACCTTTGCCAAATTCATGTCACAGTTCAAACCAACACAAAACTCAAACACTGGCACATGCTCACTTGTGAACTAGGCAGATGGTGTTGCAGGTGGGGGATTGTGGGGCAACCACATGTATCCCTCATTGTTGATGTTCCCCCCACCAGCAGAAACCGGGGACAAGGAGAGAGTTAAGGTGACATGGAAGTATAGAAGACCTCTTGACATCAGGCTGGGACAGGGGCAGTGTCATGCCTGTCTACCTGTGATGGGGCAAGTCCACATCAAGCTGCTAGGAAGGACCTTCCCCCACTATGAGGCCATGGCTGCCGGGTGAAGAATCAGGACTAATATTTACTCTTCAGAGTAGGTTTTTCTGCTTCTGAGGTTAGGAGCCTGCAGGTAGGCAGAGCAAGGAGGGAAGACATAAGGCCTGCTTGTCTGTCCCCAGGAGTTGGCCTAGGTGAGCGGCTAGCCCACTAATGCCTGCTGAGGTCAAGGGCCTGAGAATCTTTTTTTTGCTTTAGCATCAGTTGGCAAACTGTGACTGGTGGGCCAAACCCAGCTCTGTGTGTACAGCTGGGAAGCGAAGAGCTTCCCACAAGAAAGGCGCATATTTACTGACAAACGAAAATCATGTGAAATTTGCATCTCAGTGGCTGTACATGGAGTTATCCCGGAAGGTAACCACACCCATCCTTTGTGTATTGTATATCTGCTTTAGATCTAAGGCGGCATAGCTGGAGTTGGAGTTGCCATAGAGACATGTCCCCTGAAGCCCAAAATATTTACTTTCTAGTCCTTTACAGAAAGTGTTTGCCATCTCCTGCTATGTAGCAAAAAGAAGCCAACCATGGCTCAGGGCCCTGAACACAGTGCTGGCCCCCTCAACTGTGTGTCGGATTACCTCTGTTAATATTGGTTTAGGTTAATATCTCCCCCTTTTTTCCCTAGTGATCGGTGGTCTGCAGTGCCCATGTCCCACTGATCGGAGGCCATCCTTGCTGTGCGCTTCATGACCCAGTGGCGCGAGGCCCAGTGAAGCCACCGTGGTGTCCAGCATGGCAAGGCTGCTTCTGGGTGCAGTGCTGCTGGTGGTCCAGCCCCAGCTGATACCTTCCCGCCCTGCTGCCCCCGGAGCCCTGCGGGGCCAGCAGGAGCTAGTGCAGAATGTGGGCACCACCCAGAGTGATGCAGAGGACGGCGCTCCTCCCAACGGCTCCGCACAGCAGCTGCCACGGACCATCATCATCGGGGTGCGCAAGGGCGGCACGCGTGCGCTCCTGGAGATGCTCAGCCTGCATCCTGATGTCGCGGCTGCGGAGAACGAGGTGCACTTCTTCGACTGGGAGGAGCATTACAGCAATGGTCTGGGCTGGTACCTGAGCCAGATGCCCTTCTCCTCCCCACATCAGCTCACCGTGGAGAAGACGCCCGCCTATTTCACGTCACCCAAAGTGCCTGAGAGGGTCCACAGCATGAACCCGTCCATCCGGCTGCTGCTCATCCTGCGGGACCCGTCGGAGCGCGTGCTGTCAGACTACACCCAAGTGTTCTACAACCATTTGCAGAAGCGCAAGCCCTACCCGTCCATTGAAGAGTTCCTGGTGCGGGATGGCCGGCTCAACTTGGACTACAAGGCGCTCAACCGCAGCCTGTATTATGTGCACATGCAGAACTGGCTGCGCTTCTTCCCGCTGCGCCACATCCACATCGTCGATGGCGACCGCCTCATCAGGGACCCCTTCCCCGAGATCCAGAAGGTCGAGCGGTTCCTGCAGCTGTCGCCACAGATCAATGCCTCAAACTTCTATTTTAACAAAACCAAGGGCTTTTACTGCCTGCGGGACGGTGGCCGTGACCGCTGCTTACACGAGTCCAAAGGCCGGGCGCATCCCCATGTGGATCCCAAGCTCCTCAGTAAATTGCACGAATATTTCCACGAGCCCAACAAGAAATTCTTTGAGCTCGTGGGCAGAACATTTGACTGGCACTGATTGGGAATAAGTTAGGCCCTGGACATTTCCTCTTGTGAATTTGGGTGTACATCTGGGGGAGGGGAGAGTTTTCAAAGGGCATTTAAGCTATAATTTATTTGTAAAATCCATAAATGACTTCTGTACAGTATTAGATTCACAAATGCCATATATGCTAGTTATATTTTTCTACTTGTTAAATGGAGGGCATTTTGTATTGTTTTTTCATGGTTGTTAACATTGTGTAATATGTCCCTATATGAAGGAACTAAACTATTTCACTGCAAAAAAAAAAAAAAAAGAAAGAAAAGAAAGAAAACAGATTTTATGGAGATGCTGTCTTTTTAAAAATATAATTAACTCACCCCCAACTCAAAATAGCCGTCTGTGTTGCACTCATTGCAGAATCTGTATTCATTTGTTACTTTAAAAAAAATCTCCTTTTTTGTGGCTCTTAATATTGTCTCTCCCCATCTGCTGCCTTGCTCTTTTTAATTATTAATGGCTCACTGTGGTCATCAGAGTTATTTTTTTTCCCTTGCTTTATAAGATTTGTCCTTGCTGAGTTTCCATATGATTCACAGAGGTTGGACTGTTACCCATTCCTGTCTCCAGCCAGTACCCACCTGCCTGTGGATTTTAATCCCAGATAAACTCACTGTAAACAAGCAGTGTTAAGAATAAGCAAGCCTCGTTACCCTGCAAGAGGTTCCCTGAAATTCATGTTTGCCCCCAGGAGTATTTGCAGGTTCTTCTGAGATCAGCAATGGGCAATACCACTTCAACAGGGCATTGTGTATCCTTGGTGCTCTGCCTCCAGCAAGCCACATAGTATAGAAAACAGAGATTGCCAAATCTGTGTGTATTTCCATCTTGTAGATGCTGCGAAAAACTGACTAAAGTGGTAGCCCCTGCTTAGTCCAGAAGTCTGTTTATTTCTGGGAAGATCAATGTGAATTTATTGACAGATACTCCCTTTGCACTAGGATATAAATATACGCCTGTTTCAACATCACCTCCACTTCTGGATTCTTGGATGTTAAAGCAATGTAAAGCATGCAAGGTGGGAATTAAAATGTGGAAAGGGCAGAGTCGAGGGTGGCAGGGATGGAACCCCGTCCCTGCACCCAGAAACGAGAAACCCCATCTCAGTTTCATTTTGGCCCTGAAATAGCCAGGTTGCTGGAGGTGATCATATAAGCTCCTTTGGTTCTGTTTTCTCATGCATTCTCCATTTTGTCAGCCTGGGACAAATTCAATAGATTAGTTTTTTTGTTTTGTTTTATTTTTTTCCCCTAATGAAAGTTAAAGAAGCAAAATAAACTTGGTTCCTAATGCACTTAACACTTCAAAGAGGGGAAATGGACGTTATGGATTGTCTCCTACACATTAAGCTTGCATTGAAATTTCCCTGAACAGCCCCAGGCTGGAGGAATTATTAGGGTAAGTTCCAAGAGGAAGAAATCTGGGTGGAGAATGTAGGACTTTGCCCAAGGTCACAACTGCTAGGAGCCAGGTCTTGGAATTCCCTATAGCCAAACCAAAGATTAGTTGTTTATTTATTTTCTGCTCAAAAGGAAAAGTTCAGACTCAAACACAGTTGACTTGACCTTTTTTTCCTTGACTTTGAGACTGACCCAGGGGAAGATAAGCAGAAGCTGACATTTTTGTCAGCAGTGTTATCAGGGAAATGAGTCATCCTGGGTGTGCCTAGCCTGGCCCTACCTTCCCATGACCCATGTCCCACCACCGGCCACAGATGGACAGTAGAGCACTGTCTCTTCTGCAGGGCTTAGAGGGGTTGTCATCAAACCACTGTGTCCCAGAGAGCATAGCAGAAACTTTTATAGCAGAGTGCCCACAGACACGCCGCCTCGCAGCGCTCAGCATGCTCCCCTCTGCCATTCATCACTGGGTCTTGATCTGATCTGAGTCACTGAAGGGCTCAAGAAATGAGAGGACCAGCAAAGCAAAATCATGTATCCAAGGCTGCCTAGGAATTTGACTAGACAGAAATTCTGATGAGAATATGGGTCTCATGGAGTCTCTTTGCCTGTGAGTGCCTGTGGAAGGTGGTATGGTTGAAGCTTGGGTCATTAGAATAAAGGGTGATGAGCAGCAAGGGGAGAAGTCAGGGCCAGCATTAGCCCATGATTGAACCACTCAGAGTCACTGAGTGGCAGGAAAAGGCGGATAGGCATAAACTCAGTAATTGCTGATTCAAGGGTATAGAATCTTGGCGAAGGGAGTATTTATGCAGGTCTATTATGGGCAAAAAGTTTAATGTCAAATAATTATTTTGTACAACCACAGATCATCAAGGATGTACAACTATAAGCCATTATATTTGTCCTAGTCTGGGTATTCAGATATCTGAACACTGTGACATTCAGAAGTGATTATACAAATAGCCTGGGACCTCATGAGCATGTCTTATGCCAATCATATTAACAAAGAGACAGGTGCCAGCTGGAGCAAATGAGGCTTCTGTCCAACCTACCCAGACCCAGGAGCAGACTGCTGGGTTTCACAAGGGATACTTTCAGAAAGGCAAGCCTTTCCCAAAGTGAGTCTCAGCTAAGGGAATTGGAGAAGATTTGATCCAGGCAGTCCCTGCCCACTTGCTCGTAGAATCAGATGCTGCTGAAATCCTGTTAACGTGATTTGCTTATTAGTGCACAGCTCCAAACAGCTCCAAAACCAACTAACCTTGGAAAACATAATTATGTACCTCTGAGCACAGGGTGCCTTGCTCCTTCCATCCAGAGAGATGGCTACTGAGTGTGTCTGAGGCTCGCAGGGGTGGAGTCAGAAGTCACCATCATGTGCTAAAATTATATTTTTTTCTCTACAGCTGATATTCTATGCTCAGCATGGTATTACTTACCCAGAATATAAAAATAACACAATGATCAGTAGTCAGTAACTATTTTGAGAATTAACATAGAAAGCAAAAAAGTGGTGTTGGGCTGCCTGTCGACCTGCAGGGAAGTGTGTCTCACGGTTTGGCAGATCTCTTCAATAGCCCTGGGAAGAATCAGCTAGCCTCCTCATGGAGAAGAGGACATTAGCACTAAACACTCTGATCTTCAAGTCGTGATTTTTAGGAAGAAGATATTTTTTTTCAGTGTGGTAAAGGAACATATCCACTCTCTGGGCGTTACCACCCAACAATGGGAAATGTTGGCATTAAAGTGTCACAAAGGTGATTGTTAGGAAACGTCACCTCCCATGTTTCAGAAGTAGCAAGAGATAAAAATTTTTTCAATAATCACATTGTGGGAAAGAATCCCCCAGGCCGCTTGACATAAACCACCTGGACCCTGTTTTTACAGAAAGCCTCCACAGAGTCATTGGCAGTGAATTAGAATATGGAAGGCAGTATTGTCACTAGACAATCTAAGCAAAGAATGCTTGAGGAATCAAGCCCTGACCCTGGGAAGGGAGAAAGGAGGGGAGAGATCAGCAAGTGGCTTGTCTAGTTGAGTATTCCAAGTGGTGTGAAAACGGCGAGCAACCCTGACATTCAGACACTTGTGATCTGGCTGGTAGCTCTCTGAGACTGAGATCCTTAAAGCTTTGCAGGCACTCTTGTGCTGGGCTGTTTGGCATAAAGAGATAACTCATTGTACACCTGCTATGATTGTGTTATTTAAAAAACGTTGCTTCTAACCCACATAATAATTCTAAGAAGGAAAATGGATACTAGTTTTACAGAAGAGGATTCTCACAGAGATGAAAGGGTTGGGGTAGCGGACTGAGCCAGTGCTTGTTACAACTGGAATTTTGTCTCCAGTGTCCTTATTCTGCTACTTTAATGCCATTCCAAGGCGAGATAGAAGAACAGGCACAGCAGGAGTGTCTATCAGGCAGAACCGGTAAGTCATTATAAGCACTGCCGTGTGAGGTTGGAAATAGAGGGCAATTAAGATCAACTTCAAGCAAGACAGTGCTGGGAGCTCATGTCACAGGGACAGAAACATATATATGGCTGTAGCACAGGTGCATATGGGACTTTAGTTAAAGACCAGAACAAAATTCTCCAAATAGAAAACCAGGAAGGGAACAAAGACCGAGGGATAAACATCATCTGATACGCTTGGTTGTCTAAAATATTTTGATGTAGGCCATAGTTTTGGTGATTCAGCTTATTCTGATGTCAAAACCTTTACTCCATTTTGCTTGAATTGCCATCTGGGCAACAGAAGTAACAATAAGCTAGAGGCAGGAAACTGAAGTCTGAACCCTGGTTCTACCAGTTATGATCCATGTGACTTGAGCTTCAAATATTCAGGATCTTATCACCTTTCTTGATGAATGTGAATTGACACTTATTTTGCTCTGTTGGGGGGTGGTGGGGACTAATGGCATAAAGTAGTAAAAACCTCAACTGAGTGAGTATGTGGCTTAGTGGTTCAGAACTTTTATGGTGTGCAAGATTGAATGTGACTGGCTTTGAATCAGTTAGCAGGCATGACTGCCATTGCTTCTCGTCCAGTCTAACGCATGACCACAACTGTTGCAGTGGCATCTCCATCCAGACCCCTTTTTCAAGGCAGCGATGCTGCTGCTGTAAGGGCTCAGCCTTTCCTGTTTTCTGGAGCAGTACCTTCTGTCAGCAGGAGCTGCCTCAGCTAGAGATGCCTGGGAAGTAGACTCATCCAGCTCCCCTGCTTTCCCGGAGGCAACAGGTAGCTAGCAATTGACTGACATGGGTGAGCCTACAAGTAATGAATAATTTTCCTTTGTCTCCTGAAAGAACAGCCTCTTGTACACCACATGCGCAGAGCCCCTCCAGACAGCACGCCGAGGCTACACTTCAAAAACCTCACTCTTGCTTCTTTCTTCTTCTACCTTATCCTTCTGTCTCATGGCTTACCCATTTCTTCTGAAATTCCTCGCCTCATAAATGGCTTAACTATGAATACAGGCATCTTTCCTCAGGCTTTGCATCAAGGCCTTCTAATCTTTTTTTTAGTTTTTTTGTAAAGATTTATTTTTATTTTTATTTTTATTGTAAGATCAGATATACAGAGAGGAGGAGAGACAGGGAGGAAGATCCCTATCCAATGATTTTCTCCCCAAGAGCTGTACCAGTCCAAAGCCAGTAGCCAGGAACCTCCACCAGGTCTCCCACACAGGTACAGGATCCCAACGCCTTGGGCTGCACTCGACTGCTTTCCCAGGCCACAAGCAGGGAGCTGGATGGGAAGTGGGACCACTGGGATTAGAACTGGCACCCATATGGGATCCCAGTGCATGCAAAGCAAGGATTTTAGCAGCCAAGTCACCATGCTGGGCCCT